CTATCGTATATTGTTTCATTGCCATGGTTACAATCCCCTCCATGCATTATCAATGAAAGGGTACATTCTACAAGCCTGCTCCCCGCCACCCCAACCCAGTCGTCAGCACACAGGCCCTCTCCCTCCCTGGGTCCTGAGTCCCCAGCTGCTCCATCTCTCTATGTCATCATCTCTGCCTCCATATCAGTGATCACTGCTTCTCTGGATAGGGACCTGCTCTCCGCTCTTCTCACTTGATGGTTCCAGGGACCTCTGCTCCTAGCCTACAAAGTTAATCACTCCCCTCCTTGCCACAAAATGCCCACCTCTACATCTACAACCCTCACAATCAGTCCTGGTAACCATTATTCACCCTTGTATCACAAGAGACCTATCCGCATCTCCTTTCATCAGTCCTGCCTACACAGACCGGACACTACTCAGTGGAGACTCCAGAGAAATGCATAGTTTTAAATCTCAAAAACTTGAATTACAAAAGAAAAAATTCTAAAATCGGTTATTGAAGTTACCAGTTTAAAATTTTAAAAAGGAAGAGGAAATTAGCCTAAATTAGTGAAATAGGAAATGAACAAAATCAGTGAAATATTTTCCTTGAAAAGATTAATAAAGCATTCGACTGCTAACTGCAAGGTTGACAGTTCAAACCCACGAGGCACTTGGTGGAAAAAAGATGAGGTTTGCACTTCCATGAAGATTTACAGCATCAGAAACCCTGTACAGGGTCACTATGGTTGGAACTGATTTGATGACAGTGAGTTTGCTTTTTTTATTCCATCAATTTCTGGAAACTTATTTTTCGACAATGCTTTTAGTGCATCATGGACTTCTTCCTTTAATATTATCGTTCATGATCATATGGTGCCTCTTGAAATAACCGAACATCGATCAATTCATTTTGGTTCAGTGACTCTGTATATTTCCATCTTCCTTTGATACTTTCTGCATCATTCAATATCGTGCCCATGATATAAAGCTTCAATATTGCAAACTGAGGCTTGAATTTTTTTCTTCATTTCTTTCAGCTTGAGAAATGCTGAGCATCTTCTTTCCTTTTGGTTTCCTAACTCCAGGTGTTTACACATTTCATTAATATTGCTTGACTTTGTCTTCTTGAGCTGCCTTTTGAAATTTTCTGTTCAGCTCTTTAACTTCATCATATCTTCCAGTCACTTCAAGAGCAAGTTTCAGTCTCTTCTGATGTCCACTTTGGTCTTTAAAAAAAAAAAAAGATTATTTCCTGTCTTTTTACTGATCTTTTGCTTTCTTCATGTCATTCCACAATTCCTCTGGTTTCGGTTATTAGTGTCTAATGCATCAAACTTGTTCCTGAGATGGTCTCGAAATTCAGGTAGGATATACTTACGATCATATTTTGGTTCTTTTGGACTTGTTTTAATGTTTTTCAGCTTCATCCTGAACTTGCATATGAGCAGTTGATGATCTGTCCCACAGTCTCTCCCTGACCTTGTTTTGACTGGTGATGTTGAGCTTCTCAATCGTCTCGTTCCACAGATGAAGTGTGTATTCCATGTGGTGAAGTCCATGTGTACAGTCACTGTTCATGTTGTTGAAAAAGGTACTTGCAATGAATAAGTAGCTGTTTGTAAATTTCTATCATGTAACCTCCAGCATTGTTTCTATGATCAAGGCCTTATTTTCCAATTACTGATCCTTCTTCTTTGTTCCCAACTTTTGCATTCCAATCACCAGTAATTATTAATGTACCTTGATTAGTATCAGACTGAATAAGTTGGTAAAATTTTTCAATTTCATCATCACTGACTTTAGTGGTAGGTGGGTAAATTTGAGTAATAGTTGTATTGACCGGTCTTCCTTGTATGCGTCCAAATATTATTTTATCACATATAACACTGTATGTAAATATAGCTCTCGAAATGCTCTTTTTGATGATGAATGTGATTCTATTCCTCTATAATTTGTAATTCCCAGCATAGTGAACCATATGATTATCCGATTCAAAATGGCCAATACCAGTCTGAAATTTTCAGCTCACTAGTACCTAGGATATCAATTTTTACGAGTTCAGTTTTGTTTATGACAACTTTGTTTTTGACAACTTCCTAGATTCATACTTGGTGCAATTCACCTTCCGATTATTAATGGATATTTACAGCTGTTTCGTCTATTTTGAGTTGTGCCTCACCTGCAGAGGAAGGTCCCTAAAGCTTTGCTTCATCTACATCATTAAAGTCAACTCTACTTTGAGGAGGAAGCTCTTCTCCAGTCATATCTTCCGGTGCTGTTATCAGACAATGTTTTGCCAATATGCATAAGGCTTTCAGTGGCTAATCACTCAAAAGTGGTCACCTCTCCTTTTTCTTAATATGTGTTAGTCTGGAAGCTCCACTGAAATCTGTCCACCATGGTTGACGTTGATGGTATGTAAAATAGCGGTGGTTTTGCTTCCAGAATCATAGCAATACAAAAGCCACCACAGTACAACAAACTGACAGATGAGTGGTGGGTTCTCAGAATTGTTGTTGTTGTTGTTGGGTGTCATCAAATTGGTACCGACTCATAGTGACGCAATGCATAGCAGAATGAAACAATGCCTGATCCTGGGCCAACTTCACTACTGTTGCCACACTTGAGTCCATCGATGCTGCCACTTGGCCAATCCATCTCGCTGGGGTCTTCCTCTTTTTGTCTGACCATCCACATTACCAAACATGATATCCTTCTCGAGCGACTGGTTCCTTCTGACAATATGTACAAAGTATGAGAGACGAAGTTTGGCCATCCTGGCCTCCAAGGAGCACTCTGGCTGCACTTCTTCCAACAAAGATATGTTGGTTCTTTTGGCAGCCCATGACACTTTCAGTATTCTCTTCCAACACCATAACTCAAAAGTATCAATTCTTTTACAGTCTTCCTTATTCACTGTCCAGCTTTCTCATGCATATGAGGCTATTAAAAATACCATGGCTTGGGTCAGGCATACCTTAGTCCTCAAGCTGACATCTTTGCTCTTCAACACTTTAAAAGGTCTTGTGCAGCAGATTTGCATAATGTAATACATCATCTGATTTCTTGACCGCTGCTTCCATGAGTCTTGATATTTGATCCAAGAAGAATGAAGTCATTGACAACTTCAATTTTTCTCCATTGATAAAAATGTTGTTTATTGGTCCAGTGGTGAGGATTGTTTACTTTACCTTGGGGTGCAACCCATACTTAAGGCTGTGCTCTTTGATCTTCAGTAAATACTTAAAGTCGTCTTCACTTTTAGCAAGCAAGGTTGTATCATCTGCATATCGGAAGTTGTTAATGAGTCTTCCTCCAATCCTGATGACACATTTTTCTTCATATAACCCAGCTTCTCGGATTATTTGCTCAGCATACAGGTTGTATAAGTATGGTGAAAGAATACAACCCTGTCACACACCTTTTCTAAGAACTTTTCTAAGAACTTCCACAGGTTCAAGCTGGATTCAGAAGAGGCCACGGAATGACGGATATCATTGCTGATGTCTGATGGATCTTGGCTAAAAGCAGGGAATATCAGAAAGATGTTTACCTGTGCTTTATTGACTACACAAAGGCTTTCAATTGTGTGGATCATGACAAGCTATGGACAACATTGCAAAGTATGAGTATTCCTGAACACTTAATTATGCTCATAAGGCATCTGTACATAGACCAAGAGGCACTTACTCAAACAGAACATGGGAAGAGTGAATGGTTTAAAATTAAAAAAGGTGTACAACAGGGATGTATTCCTTCACCATACTTATTCAACCTGTGTGGTGCTGTGGGCTAATGCACTGGACTGCAAAGTCATTTGAGCCACAAGGTTGGTGGTTCAGGCTCACCAGCTGCTCCTTGGAAACCTTATACACAGTGGCTATGGATCAGAAATGAGTCAACAGCACTTAACAACAACAACAACAACAATTCAAACTGTATGCTGAGCAAATAATCCGAGAAGCTGGGTTATATGAAGAAAAATGTGTCATCAGGATTGGAGGAAGACTCATTAACAACTTCCGATATGCAGATGATACAACCTTGCTTGCTGAAAGTGAAGACGACTTTAAGTATTTACTGATGAAGATCAAAGACCGCAGCCTTCGGTATGGATTGCATCTCAATGTAAAGAAAACAAAAATCCTCACCACTGGACCAATAAACAACATTCTTATAAATGAAGAAAAGACTGAAGTTGTCAATGACTTCATTCTTCTTGGATCAACTACTAACATTCATGGAAGCAGCAATCAAGAAAACAAACGATGTATTGCATTATGCAAATCTGCTGCACAAGACCTTTTCAAAGTGTTGAAGAGCAAAGATGTCAGCTTGAGGACTAAGGTATGCCTGACCCAAGCCATGGTATTTTCAATAACCTCATATGCATGAAAAGCTGGACAGTGAATAAGGAAGACTGTAGAAGAATTGATGATTTTGAGGTATGTTGTTAGAGGAGAATACTGAAAGTGCCATGGGCTGCCAAAATGAACCAACATATCTTTGTTGAAAGAAGTGCAGCCAGAATGCTCCTTGGAGGCCAGGATGGCCAAACTTCGTCTTTCATACTTGGGACATATTGTCAGTAGGGACCAGTCGCTGGAGAAGGATATCATGTTTGGTAAGGTGGAGGGTCAGAGAAAAAGAGGAAGACCCCCAGTGAGATGGCTTGGCAAAGCAACACCATCAATGGGTTCAAGTGTGGCAAAAATTGTGAGGTTGGCCCAGGATTGGGCAGTGTTTTGTTCTGTTGTGCACAGGGTTGCTATGAGTTGGTACTGACCCAATGGTACCTAACAACAACATAATATACATAAGATCAACAACAAGTATTATTTTTCTTTATTTTTATCATTATTTCTACTGGACACCATGTATTGATAACTCTGTCACTGACAAACTTTAAAAAAGCAAATGATTTTTAAATTTATCCATGTTTCAACTACTGCTTTTTTAATCTAAATTATATGAATCAGTATTTTAACTTAAATAGAAATCAGTGGACAACTTACCTGTGAAAACCATCTTTCAAAACTTCTAGTCTCAAAATAATTTCAGAACAAGTGGCCCTTATGCCTAAGAGAACAACAACAACAAAAAGTACCTCAGTGAAAGAAGATTTAAATAATTAGAGAAGTTTTAAATAATTAATAATCTTTACTACCCTGGAAAACATAATGAACCTAAAAACAAAACAAACAGAACTTTAAAAACTGAAGTGATTTGCACTACATACGATACTGTATAGCAGAGTGGTTAAGAACATGGACTGACTCTCGAGTTGGACTGGTTTTGAATCCCAGTTTGTCACTTAACAGCTTTGAGCAAGGTACTTTACCTTTCTGTTAACCATCATGAGGATTAACACTTGTTGTTCAGTGTTGTCTAATCAGTTCTGACTCATAGTGTGACCTTTATAGGGTATCTGAGGAGCAGCTGGTTAGTGTGAACCACCAAGCTTGCGCTTCAAACCAACCTTGTGGTCCAGTGCTTATCCTACAGTACCATGCCAGGATTCCATTAATATTTGTAGAAATATTTAAAATAGGACCTATGACATAAGAGGAAGTGCAGTGGCTCTGTACAATAAACAATGGACCGTGAACCACAAGGTCAGTGGTTTGCGCCCACCAACCGCTTTGCGTGAGAAAGATGAGGCTTTCTGTTCCCACAAAGATTTACAGCCTCGGAAACCCTATACAGGGTCGCGATGAGTCAGACTGACTCAAAGGCACTTAACAACAACATAACATAATAATTACTCTGCGTAAGTGTTCACTCTATGACCACAAGACACCAGAAGGAACAGAATGACTAGCAAGACAAATAATCTCTTTTAATCCTAGTTCAGTGGTGTATATACATACACATACTGGCAATTTCTGTATTTTGTCACCCACAGTTATAACACTGGGAACAATATATTTATTCCTTGTGCAGATGTTGGGAGAGTTAGAAAATAAATAAATAACAAATCTGGAGGCACACAAAGGATTCCTATATAAACTTACAATAACCAGAAATTCACTATATTAACTTTAGGCAGAATTCAGACATTGAAACTACTACTCAATGTCAGAACCATAAACAAAAAAATTCTGTATCCACCAAAAAAACTGTTGTCCACCAACTCTGCAGGCCTCTTGCTATGGAATTAGATCTTATTTTCAAAAGCGGAGGGTGTGTCAGAAGAACAGTTTTAAAAACACATAGAAAACCATATATTTTATTATATGCGGCTGAATCCATCAGATGTATTCCAGTGCATGGGGAAAAAATGATGTAGAGATGAAAACATGTGAAAAATACAAGGGAAGGAAGGAAAGACTAATGGAAAAGATAACATTTAACAAATAACATCTATATATCAGATCCTGTACTTGAGGTTCACGTGTGTTTTCTTTTATAATTCACGAACAATTTAGCCAAAACAGGCAAATTACTGCCACTTCATACTATGACTTCTAAAGATAAGAAACGTTGACTGATTAGAAGCAAGATTTGTCTGATTTTTAAAGCCTAAGATCTTTCCACTTTATTTAAAGGAATTCTTATTTGCCTTTGAAAAACATATCTTTTACTAAATAAATAGTTTATGTATCTCTTGTACAATCAGATTTTTCTTAATCATGTTTAAATTTTAATGAAAGTGACTTGGAGAGTGAGGACTTGTATCTACCTATAAATTACAATGAACCCTCTGTAGGATAAGTACTGGACTAGTAACCGCAGCCAGCAGTTCAAACCCATCAGCTACTCTGAGAAACCCCAAATAGGGTCGCCTCTGACTCGGAACTGATCTGAGGGAACACAACATAAATTAAATTAGAAAAAAAAAAACAAAACTCAATTAATAGGTATAAATTCTACTGAGATGTACACTAAAGTAGTAAATCACATCAACCATGAGATGGTGGAGAGATTAATTTACATACAGCATAGTAAATACTGAACTCCTGGTGTGGTGCTATAGGATAAGCACCGAACTGAGAACCACAAGTAGGTGGTTCAAACCCACCAGCCACTCCTTGGAAACCCTATAATGGGTCACTATGAGTTGGACTGATTGGATGGCACTTAACAACAACAAGCAACTATAGTACGTACTATTTGTTATTTTTAAAGAAAAGTACCATTTTCAAAACCAATTTGAATCTGAATTCACCTCTTTATTTGGTTGTGGTGGTCTGAATTGGTTCTAAAAATTGACCTCTTTTTAACTGATAAAGTGTTAATGCTGGAGACATCTTTGGAGACCATCAAGTCCATTTGTTTGAATGAAAATATACAATGATTTTTTAAATCCTTTTCTCAAATAAATTTAGAAATCTAATATGTAAAGCAAGAGTCCCTTGGTAATACTAATGTATGGTTAAGGGCTGGATTACTAACCAAAAGATTAGCGGTTCAAACCCACCCAAAAGTGCCTCAGAAGTAAAGCCTGGTTGGCCAACTGATTTGAAAAGGTCACAAAAGTTCTCTTCTCCGCATATGGAGTCGCCATGAGTAGGAATTTGTCAACTGGCAACAAACAACAACAATATTTAAAACCACCACAAGCAGAGCTTCACTGGTTGACAGATTGATACCCCAAAATAAATTCTCCTTGCCCAAACATCATTTTATAGTAATTACTACTTTCTCCCCTAGGACACTGCAGATGCAAGAGGGTTTGTCTGGCTCAGGACTGAATCCACAACCTAATAACAACCCTAGACTTGAGAAGCTCAGGTACCATAGTGGTTATGAATCGGTCTGCTAACCTGAAGGTCATCAGTTCGAAACTACCAGCGGCTCCGTGGGAGAAAGATGAGGTGTTCTGCTCCCGTAAAGATTTACAGCCTCGGAAACCCTGTACAGGGTCGCTATGGGTCGGAACCGACTCAACGGCACTTAACAACAACAACAACAGATTTACAGGCTCGGAAACCCTATACAGGGTCACTATGAGTCGGAACCGACTCCACAGCACATAACAACAACAAAGCCGGCGACTCAAGTCCAAAAAATAAGACCCCTGTTCAGCCTAGAGGCACAAATTCAGTCTCTATCAGATACTTGGAAAACTAAGCTAATCATTTCCTCAGAATCTCTTATATTCTGGACTACAAGTCTCACACTTTACAACGTGCTGGGGTTTATCAATCTTGGTGCAGTACGAATTCCAAAGCGCTTCATTCACTGCTATATTTTTTTCTGTACTTTAATAACAATCTTAGCCAGTCCCGCCTCGAAACGACAAAGGACCCAGGACCCAGGCGCGGGCACAGTAGGGGAAGAACAAGGCACGTGGTCTTTTTCCTTTCTACCTCCTCCAGCTCACCCTACAGATCTGAGGTCGGTCCCACACCCAGAGACACTGAAGCACCCTACGAAAACGAAAAGGCGCACTTGAGAGAGCTCCTCCCGGTAGCCAGCACAGAAACGGCCCCGCTCCTCCCCTTACCAACGTTGAAGGGGCGGTCAGTGAAGGCCGCGGCAGGCGTGCAGGTCAACCCAGTCGCCACCCAAAGGAGGAGCCAGGCGGCCGCCCGGATAACCACGGCCAGGGCAGCCAGGACGCCGGAGGGCGGGTGCCCGTACGGGGCGTGCAGGATGAAATGTGGGTAGAAGGACCTGCACACGTCTTACGCCAAAGGACTAGTGATTGGGACGGAGGGCTCAGTACTCTCACACTGCTATCCCGCGGTTCGCAGACTACGCAACCCCAGTATCCCGAAAGTTGCGTCTCAGCGTGAAGCAGCAGCATTGACACCCTTTCTCTCTCCTTTCATTCGCTCCTCTCGCTGCCCCGCCCCTAGCTGTCAGGGAGGGGGCGGGGCCAAGAGTGGCGCAAGCGCCCTGCCGTACGCTCTGGGCTGTTGCTGTGGGAACGTCTGAGCCAGCACCGGGACAAGCTGTCTGGGCGCCAACTCGGGACGCTTTGGGCCTTGATCTCCACTTCCAGGTATTTGCGCTTTTGGGTCTCCTGCCAAGGAGTTCGTCTTACAGTCACGTGTGTAAGACTGTAGCCATCGCCTCTTCCTGCAGCACCAATCCCCCTGACATCAGTGTCCGGTTTAGGGCTCCTCTGTGCGCTATTTTGTTGTTGTTGTTAGGTGCCCTCGAGTCGGTACCGACTCATAGCGACCTTATGCACAGCAAAACGAAACACTGTCCTATCCTGGGCCAACCTCACTATTGTTGCCACACTTGAGTCTATTGATGCTGCCAATTGGCTAATGCATCTCGCTGGGGGTCTTCCTCTTTTTCTCTGACCCTCCACCTTACCAAACATGATATCCATCTCCAGCGACTGGTCCCTCCTGACAATATGTCCGAAGTATGAGAGACGAAGTTTGGCCATCTTGGCCTCATGGAGCACTCTGACTGCACTTCTTCCAACACAGATCTATTGGTTCTTTTGGCAGCCCATGGCACTTTTATTATTCTCCTCCAACACCATAACTCAAAAAGCATCAATTCTTCTACTGTCTTCCTTATTCACTGTCCAGCTTTTGCATGCATATGAGGTTATTGAAAATACCATGGCTTGGGTCAGGCACACCTTAGT